TTCCTGCAGCAAGTCTGGGGCCACTTGCTGCAGTGCCAGGCCGCCATCGCGTGCGACGCGGGTCGTGAAGGCTCGCACGTAGATTTTGGCATTTGTTCGGGCTCGTGCCTGCCGTACCTCACGAGTTGTTCGGACGTGCAAGCGGCGCCGTGGAAGACGCGCTGCGGGCTCGTCCTCGGCTTGCGCGGCAGCGGCGCGCAGCTCATCACTCGGAAGCTGGTCTTGCCGAGGCCGCCCCCGCACTGCCCTCGCCCTGGCCACGACGAGGGGGGGTCGTCGGCCAAGAAGCGCGCGGCCACCCAGGCGGCCGCTGCAGCTCAGGAGAAGCGCCGGGCACTCCTTCACAATGTGTTCGGTGACAAATTGGGCGATGCCGACCGCGAGGGGTCCGATGCTTCGCCCTGGGATTCATCCGATGGCTGGAGCGACGATGGTTGGGGCATGTTCGGCGACGCCGACGCGGGAGAGGGCGCTGCCGCGTGGCTCGCGCGCGCGCGATGTTCCCACGCAGCTCTTCGTCGCGCCGACTGCCAGCTTGGGCGCTTTCGCGCCGTCGCGGCTGTTGGCGGCCAGACCGCCTGCTGGCTGGCCTTGTTCTCCCTCGCCGTTCTCTACGAGTCGAGTGGTATGCTGGCCTTGTTCTCCCTCGCCGTTCTCTACGAGTCGAGTGGTATTTGTCACGCATGAGGCGCCGCCGGCGCCGCTGTTTCTGGCCGCTGCTGGGGCCCGCTGCGGGGGCCCGCTGGAGGCCGCTGCTGGGGCCGCTGCTGGGGCCCGCTGCTGGGGCCCGCTGCTGGGGGCCGCTGCTGGGGCCCACTGCTGGAGCCGCGGAGGCCGTTGCCGAAGCTGCCAGGACGGCCTCCGCGCGCGGCCAGGAGACGGCCGCGGCGATCCAGGCCGAAATCTCCACGGGGATCTCCGTCACGCAGGGCGGCCCTCAGGCGGCTCGCGGCGACGCTCCAGGAGCGGCCGGCGGCCTTTCCGGAGCGGCCAGGCCTGCCTTCGCGAACGACCTTGAGGAGGGCCCGTTCGAGTTCGTTGACGACGTTTGCAGCGTCGACCTTGCGCGGGGGATGGCGGCGGCGATTTGGAGGTACCCTGCGAGGTCGCAGCGGAAGCTGGACCTTTCGCTGGCCCCCTCCCGCGGGGGGGGGGCAGGTCGGAATAGGCGCCCCATAGCAGCGACATCTGCTGGGGTGACTCTTGCCCCCCGCTCCGACCGACCTGGCGCGATCGCGTCGACATTAGCGCCATCGTGCGCAGCCCCCGCGTCGGCCCCAGCTTCGACGCCGACGTCGCCGCTGCGCAGTGCAGGCTGCGGCTTCCCGTTCGCAGTCACTCCCAGCACGTGGGCGAGGACCTTTGCGGACTTCGTGCCGTGCCCGGCGCCCTGGCCCGTGATCGCGGAGCCGGCCGCGTTCCACATGGGCGGCCAGCGCATCGCGGACGTGAGTGGCCTTTGCGCGAGGTGGGTCACGCGCGTTGAGGAGGCCTTCGCGAGGCGCCAACGCGCCGCGATATCGAGGTCTATCGTCGCGCGGGCACTGGGGCCGCATCTCGTCGAGCTGGCTGTTGAGCAGAAGGAGGCGGCTGTCACGTCTTCGGTTCGCGGGGCGGCAGCCAATTGGTGGGCCCAGCTTCACGCGGTCACCCAGCGGCCCGCCAAGTTCCGCCATGTCGACAAGCCGTCGGAGGCCGTCAGGAGGGACCCGGCCAGGGTCGCTGTCGCGCGCCAGGAACTCGGCCGCGCGGCGCCGAGGAAGGCGCGCGCTGCGCTCGTAGCTCGCGACGCTCGCGGCGCCACATCGAGTGGCGAGGTTCTGGGCTGGAAGCAATTTTGCCGCCAAGAGGCGCTTGAACAGTTGGTGGCCGCGGCTTCGATTGCTTTGCGGCGAGCTCGCAGCCGAGCCGTGCGTGTTTCACTTCGTGATTTCCAGCGCTGGATCGTCCACGACGGTTCCGGCGCAGTGCTCTTGCGGTCCCTCGAGCGCGCGCTGGGGGCCGCCGTCGAGGATCACCGCCACGATGGCCACTTCGTTCGCCCGCGTGACCTGGTGGACGACGAGGCCGTCGAGCGGCGCAAGCTGTGGGCGCCCGGCCCAAAAGACTACGGGGCGCTCGACGCCCCCCACCTGGAGATGCGGGGGCACTTGAGCTTCGGCGACCTGCCGCCGCTCGACCTCGGCATGCTGAAGGACGCTCTTCGTCGCATGTGCCCTCGCGCCGGTCGTGGCGTGGACCGGCTGCGCCCAGCGGATGTCGAAGGCCTCCCTAACGAGGCCCTGCGCGACTTGCTCTGCGTTCTCACTTGCGCCGAGGCCTGCGGCGCGTGGCCTTGGCCGCTGCTCGCCGTCGTCGGGCGCCTCCTCGGCGGGAAGAGCGGCGGCGAGCGAGTCATCGGCTTCCTGAGCATGGTCGCCCGCATTTGGAGCACGGCGCGCGGGCGCGACGCGCAGGCGTGGGCCGCCGTCACGTGCTCTGCCTGGGACGCCGCCGCGCGGGGCAACTCGGCGGCGTTCGAGGCCATCGTGCGCGCGATCGGCGTGGAGGCGTACAACGAGCTGGGTTTCTCCTACGCCCACGCGCTGCTGGACATCCAGTCCTTTTGCGATTCCATGGGTTGGGTCAAGCTGGGGCGGGCCGCGTTGCGGCTAGGCCCCCCGCCCGCCATCTTGGCTTTGGAACTGCAGCAGTGTTTTGCCCCGCGGATTCTGATCCGCGGGGGCGTCGCCTCCATGGCGCGCCAGCCGGCGCGGTCCATCGCGCAGGGCCTGCGGTCGTGCACGCGTTTTGCGCGTTGCCTCACCTTCTTCATCGTGCAGCAGGTCACTCAGCAGGCGCCGCGTGCTGTCCTCCTTCCGCGGCATTGGGTCGATGACTTCTCGGAGTCCGCCGTCGGCAGGGGGGGCGCAGTGCGGCGCGGCCTCCCCGAGGCGGTCATCCTGGCCTGCGATCGTCTCGTACAGGAGGGCTTGGCCGTGCCCCCCCAAGACGTGATCATTGGGAATCGGCACGTGGGCGCGGTGCGCATGGCGAACAGGATCCGGCGGCAGGGCTACGTGGTCACCGCCGTCCGTTGCGCCCCGTGTCTCGGGGTCGACCTTTCGGCGGGCTGTCGCGGAGGTCGCCTCGCCCGCGTCATGCGGATGACGAAGTCAAGGCCGCCGACTCCAGGATCCGCGGGTTCGCTCGCGCCAGCAAGAAGTACCTCGCGCGTCTGAAGCTGGAGCGGACGTCGGCGCAGTCTGCGGCGGCGCACGGCCATCGGGTCCACGGCGCGTTCGGGCAGACCCGCCTGCAGCTTCGCCAGCAGCTCGGCGCCGTGGCGCGTCTGCGGGCAAGGGCGCGCGCCTCGCCACCGTCCTCCAGCTTCGGCTCGGCGAGGGCGATCCAGCTCGCAAGCTCCCTCGAAAACAAGTTCCCCTCTTGCTCCAGACGTGGCAGGGGTGCCCATTGCGGCGCCGGCGAGTTCAGCAAGCATGGGCCGCCATCCACGCGCGCCTGTGGGAGATGGCACCGTCGGCGCGCACTCGCGGGATACGGGGGCCGATCTCTGCTGTGCAGGCGCTGCTTCTGGAGAACGGCTGGCGCCCCGTGGGGCCGCGCGGTTGGGCGCGGCAGGCGCCCGATGGGCAGCAGGAGCGCTGGGTGCCCCCGCAGGCCGTGACGCTGGCCAACGGCTCGGCTCGCCTGCTGATTGACGCCTTCGACGGCTCGGTCGCCCAGGCCTTGTGGGAAAAAGCGGCAGGCCACTGGTGCCGCGAAGGCTTATAGTTTGGCGCTGACCTCGCTTCCCTACAGGGCCTGCTGAGGCTGCTCGTCTCTTTCCCGCGCGGGGGGCAGCTCGCAGAGCTCATGGTAACCATCGCCGCCGGCGGGGCGTGGCTGCGGCAGCGCTGCCTCGAGACCTTCGGCGACGTGGGCGGCGACTGGGGCATGTGTCCACGCTGGGGCATGCGTCCACGCCCTTTTCATCGGAGTTGGGGGTGCTCGCAAAACGCGGGCTGCACGGCCTACTGTCGCAGTGAGCAGATTCTGCCTCGCGCCCGCGCGGAGGAAGATGCAGCTGAATGTTCTGGCTTCGGGGCGCCATCCCCTCCGCCTGGGCGGCGGCGCCAGGCCCCGCGGACGTCGAGAATTGGACCACCATCGGCGGCGGCTGCGACGGCCAGCCCCTTCTTGGGCGCGGCGCCGCCAGCGCGCCCTTGGCTCTGTTTGGCGACGCCAGTGGCGGCCATGAGTCGAAGGACCCCCGCCTCCGTCGCGTCGGCGTCAGCGTCTGCCGCCTTCGGACCACTGGTGGGGCCGCGGCAGACGGTGCGCCGCGGAGAGCTGCGTGCCCTGCCTTTTGCCGTCCAGCTGTCGGCAGGCGACGTCATCTTCTTCACCGACAACCTGGCGGTTTGCGAGGGCTGGTGGCAGAGGCTCGATCAGGCCCCATCGGGGCCCGACGCCGACATGTGGCACGCGCTGGGGGCAGCCTTCGCCCGTCGGGCGCGGACGACCGTGACGGTAGAGCACGACAGCTCCCACCTCGTGGTCGAGGAGGCAGACGCCCGCGGCATCCTTGGCGCCGTGTTTCGGGGGCATTGCGGTGGCGGAGGTGCTCGCGGATACCGCTGCGGCCGAGTGCCGCGTCGGCGCCCTCGACCGGTCGCGCGTGGCCAGCGTGGAGATTCTGGCAGGTCAAGGGAGCCGGCGGCTGCTGGGGTCGACGCTGGACGCGTCCGCGGCGGAGCAGCAACGGCGGCCCAACTGCGAGCAGCGGGCCCGCGTGTCGCCGCCCGCGCCCCGTTCGGTGGCTGCCTTCAGCTCGGGCCATGCACTGGCGAGCGACGGCCGCAGCTGCAGCTCGTGCCGATGCTCGGCGTCTAGCGCGAGCCAGGCCGAATGGTTTCGCAGCCCCTGCCACGGCCTGCGGCAGATGACGGCCGAGCTGGCTGTACTGGGCGGGCCGCCCGAGGCCGCGGTCCAGATAGGCGGTGGAATGGCGCAATGCACCCACCGCCTGGTGTTGCACAAGCCGCTGGACGTGTGGTTCTGCCAGGGCTGCGGCTTCTTCGCGCCCCCTGGCAGTCGGCAGCTGGACGATGGCCTCTAAGGAGCATGCCCTGTGGCGCCGACTACCGCCAACCCGCGGGGACGGCCTCCGACGGCCACGGGCGCGGTCTACCTGGATCGCCTGGGCCGTGGCCTGTGGCCCAAAGCGGGCCGCCGCCTGTTCGGGCGCCCCGCGGCGTTGGCTGGCCGAGCGGACGACGACGAGACCGACGGCTAACAGCCTGCTGGCGCGGGCCCCGCGGGGGCGGCGGCCGCGCGCCGTGCGGGCGAGGTCGTCGTGGCGCTGCGCTCGTTCTGAGCGCCGCGAACCTTGGGCAGGCGGTCTTCGGATCCGCCTTCACGGACACTCCCGGACACTCTTCCTCCTCCTCTTCCTCCTCCTCCTCCTCCTCCTCCTCCTCCCCCTCCTCCTCCTCCTACTCCCCCTCCTCCTCCCGTTCCCAGCGGAAGCACGATGGTTGATTTTTTTCTCGGGCTGGAGTGGGCGGGGTGCTCTCTTTCGACATGCATTGGATATTCTCGGAGAAGAAAATACCACATAAACATAAACTGTTGGCGAGGGGCGGGGATTTCTTGGATCCGCGCTGGGCCCCCTGGCGGCGCCTCAAGCGCCGCCCCTGGCGCGCTCCGCTATGTGTATGTGGTTATGTTATTATTTCATACTCTGCCGCCTCAGTGCTGTCGGCTCCGTGCCCATCCCTAATTCGAGACCAAACATGGCGGTTGGGCGTGTGGGGTTGGTTTGCACTCAGGGGCAACAATAGGGGCGGATAGGCATAGGGGGAGATGCATCGACCCCTTATCGCCCATTGATCTCCGATAGGGGCCCGATAACCCCTCCCCGCCCAGGACCGTGGGGACTTGCCCTCGGGAGCCTATCGCCGATCTGTCAGCGATGTATCGTCGATTCCAGGTCGACGTCCCCCGCCTATGCCAGTCGTCCTCGATCGTTACCCCTCATGCACGTGCTATTCCAGCAGGTGCGCGTGACGCAGCGCGTCTCTGCCCCGCTGATCCGCACAGTGCGAGAAAGCGAAGGAGCAGGACCCCCATCCGCTGCTCCAAGGTGGTGATGAGCCTGAGGGCCCGCGGCATCCTTCAAGGCGTCTGGGTCACCTGAGAGCGTTCTGGGTGGCAAGTAAAGGAGGAGGCGGAGGAGGAAGAGGAGGAGGGGGAGAAGGGTGGCAAGTACATTCCGAAGGCGAGCAAAAACAAACACGGCATTCACATAAACTTTCGGCGATCCGCGCGGATTTTCTCTGGATCTGCGCAGGGCCCCCTCGTGGCGGCGCATCCAGCGCCGCCACTGGCGCGCTTTCTGCGCGCCTATGGGAGGGGGGTCCAGCGCAGATTCAACGGTTTGTGTTTGCGCAGTTAAGTTGGATTCCTCTTGTACTGATTATGTGCTCGTGGGATGTTTCTTTAGGGTCCGGCGATAACCCGGGTTATCGGGCTTGCCCCCCTTCCCCCCCAGGATAACCTGTTTGCCGGTTGTGCAGGTCCGGGGTGGAGGGGTGCGGACATATGCAGGGCTGCCCACAGCGCGAAGATTAGGTTATCGGCCGGTCCCCTCCTCCTTCCCCACCCCCGGATAACCCGTGTTATCGCCGATGTAAAAAAAGTGTCTTCTTTTGAGCATGGGGCCTTTTCTAGGGTGCATCCATTTATTCAGCAGGTCCGAGTTGATCCCGAGGCCAGACGATGAGAGACATGTCTTCGTTTCGTGGTCGACCTGCTGCATGTAGCATGAGGGGACCAGTTGAGTGACCAACATGTTGGCCCTGCACTTGGGACGGACAATGTTTCTACATTGACGCGTAAATAGTTTGCATCCCACGTTTCCGCAGGGCCGGAGCGAGAAGACAGAGCAGTTCCGGTTGATCATTTCCGATGCAACAGGATAGTCTTTGTTCTTCTGTTTGCGCGCATCCATGCAGAGCAATGCCACTTCCGATGGTGCATGTTCACCCATGTTGATCTATGTCCAGCCAGGTCGGGGGCCCATCTTGTACCTTGGCGGTTCCATACCTGGACCCTGAGGGATGGGTCCCTGAGGATAGGAGGTGGATCACAGGTGGAGCCTTCACATGCCTTCATTGTTGGAGGCTCTCGCCCTTAGGGCCCAATCCCTCAGGGCCCCACCTTTGAAACTCCGGACGCCGTCTCGCGGTTGGCTGCCGAGGGGGCGGTCGTGTGTCAGCGGACGGAAGTGGTCTCGTAATCTGATCAGGGGCTAGTTTATGTGTTGCGCAATCGCAGTGCTGATTCCCCGTTCGCCACGAGGAGCGCGGGATGGAGAGAGTGGGGCACGAGGGCCTCGTGCCCCATCCCTCCCTCCCGCGCCCCTCCCCTCCCCTCCCTCGACTTCCTCGGTGCTCGGGCCTTGGACCTCTCGACTGCTTCTCCGGGGCCAGCTTCCGGATGCCAGTCATCGCGACACACCAGCCGTCTCTTTGTTTCTTCGAGGCGCCCGTCGTCTGGGCTGCCCGCGTCATCGTCGTCGTCCCCCTCCGCCCTACCTCCCACTCAGGGCGTCCCTGAGATGACCTCGACTTAGCGCGTCTCGCCTTCGGCGGGAGCCGGCGGAAATGAATCAGCGACGTGTCCGGTTGCGGAAGGTCGTCGGAAGGCGGTGGATGCAAAAGCGACACGCCAATTGTTTTGCGCCAGGGTTTCCAGAATCGGCCGGGGGTGTGGAGCATCCTTCTCTTTTTCCTCCTTCTCCTCCTCCTCCTCCTCTTCCCTCTCCTCCTCCCTGCCTCCTCCCTCCTTCCTCGTCCTCGTCCTCCTCCTCCCTCTCCTCCCTGCCTCCTTCCTCTCATCCTCCCTGCCTCCTTCCTCCCTCCTCCTCCCTCCTCCCCCCTCCCTCCCTCCTCTCCTCCTCCTCCTCCTCCTCCTCCTCTCCTCCTCCTCCTCCTCCTCCTCCTCCTCCTCCCTCCTCCTCCTCCCCTCCCCCTCCCCCTCCTCCACCTCCCCCTCTACGAGCGTTGATGCAGGATGACGCTGTCAGAAATGACCTTAGCAGTGATTACTGAGAACGGGCTTCCTGGCCTGCTCGTGGGCGACTTGTCGTCGTCATTGAGTTTACGGTGGGCGCGTCCCTCTACAACAGGGATATCCACAAATAGTCGAAAAATAGGATGGGGAAGATTGTTATAGTATTTTGGTGTATTGTTGGGCATTTGTTGCGTCCTTTTTAAGTTTTCATCAAGCATCCGCCTGTAGGAGGACGCGCCCGACCTAACATGGAGGAGATGCGTAGGTCTTCCTTCGTTCCAAGCCTTCTTCCCAGCGGCGGAGAGCCATGTTCTTTACAGTTCCCTCCAGCTTGTCTTCAGTCGGGCGTGTCCCTCTACAGGAGGAATACTCGAACATAGTAGCAAAAGCAAGATGGGGACGATTTTTCTAGTATTTGTTCAAGTCTTTTTGAGCATTTTTTTTGCGTAGTTTTATTTCTCCTCCAAACTCCGCCTGTAGGAGGACGCGCCCGACCTAATATGGAGGAGATGCGTTGATCTTCCTTCGTCCCAAGCCTTTTGCCATGTTCTTTGCAGTTCACTCCAGCATGTCTCAAGTCGCGCATGTCCCTCGACAGGAGGAGGAATATTCGGAACTAGTCAAAAAGTAATATGGGGATAATTTGTCGACTACTTATAAGTCTTTTTGAGCTGTAAGAGGACACGCCCGACTTCACATGGAGGAGATGCGTTGATATTCCTTCGTCCCAAGCCTTTGTCCCAGTGGCGGAGAACCGTGTTCTTTGTAGGTACCTCCAGCTTGTCGTAAGTCGGGCATGTCCCTCGACAGGACAAATCTTCAAAAATGAACAAAAATACTCGGGGGACGAATTTTATGTTTTTTATTTTATGTTTGGTGCATGTTTGGAGCATACTTTTTTCATTCAAAATCAGCCTGTAGGAGGACATGCCCGACCTAAGGCTTGTCCCGATCGCCGTCCTAGATTACCCTGGCGAGTCCAATCGGGGGTGCGGACCGGACTCCTCCGCAGGGGTTGGCTGGTGGCAGACGTCCTTCAGCATTCTTGACCACCGCCTATATCCCAGATATCTGACCTGCAGGGCTACCCAGACTTCCCACGCCGCGGTGTCCTGCCACAACACCGCTCCCCGCGGATCTGGACTTCTTCCCGAGGATCGGCTTTACATCCAGAGCAGTTCCCAGAAAGGGCGTCGGCCCAGGGTCTCTTTTGAATCGATCAACTTGTCGCCGGTAGCATACCTGGAGGGCCGGCGAATGCAAAGGACTTTTACATTCTCCCAAAGAGCCCTCTCACCTCCTAGATGTTGCCCGTCCAGTGGGCGCAGGAGCAGCATGTAGCAGGAGACAATTTGTTTCTCCCCCGCGAGAACGGGCGTTACCGGGGTAGGGGAGCGGGGGAAGGTGGGCGGTAACGTCACGATTCGCGCCGGTGGCGTCTGGGAATGCTTAGGATAAGTGTTATGCTGATCGGGGCCGCATACAGATAGGAAAAGCAATGGTATACAAGCGCGCTGCTATTACTATTGCTACTACTACTACTGCTACTACTACTACTACTACTACTACTACTACTACTACTACTACTGCTTCTATACTACTACTACTACTACTACTACTACTACTACTACTACTACTACTACTACTACTACTACTACTACTACCATAACTACTACGACTACTACAAAACCGTCTGCTTTTCCAAAAACCATTACTACTACTACTACTACTACTACTACTACTACTACTACTACTACTACTACTACTACTACTACTAGTACTACTAGTACTACTACTACTACTACAACTACTACTACGACTACTACTACTACTACTACTACGATTACTACGACTACTATTTCGAAAACTACGATTATTCGTATTACAACCAGCATTACTACTACTGCTGCTACTACGACTTCTACTTCTACTACTAGAAGTACTACTACCACTGTTACCACTTCTTCTTCTTCTTCTACTACTACCACTACTACTACGACTACTACTTTTATTGCTACTACGATTACTACTGTTACCTTTTACCACTACTACTACTACTACTACGACTACTACTACTACTGCTACCACTATCATTCGTACTCCTACCACTACTGCTACTAGTACGACTACTACTACTACCACTACTACTACTACTACTACTACTACTACTACGACTACGACTACTACTACTACTACTACTACTACTACTACTACTACTACTACGATTTCTACTACCGCTACGACTAGTCCCACTACTACTACTACTACTACGGCGACTATGCTTTCTAGTATTTCTATAATCCGTATTGCTACTGCTACTACTACTGTTACTACTACTACCCCTACCACTACCACTACCACCACCACTACTACTACTACTACTACTACTACTACTACTACTGCTACGACTACGACTACTAATACTACTACTAATATTACTACTACTACTACTACTACTATAACTACCACTACCACTGTTGCCACTTCTACTAATACTGCGACTACTACTTCTACTGTTTCTACGACGACCTATTACTACTACTACTACTACGACTACTACTACTACTACTACTACTACTACGACTACTACTCCTACTACCTACTTCTACTACTGCTACTACTTTTACTACAATTACTATTACTACGACTACTACTACTACTACTACTACTACTACCATTACTACCTCTACTACTGCTACTACTACAACTACTTCTACGATTACTACGTGTACTATTACTACTACTACTTCTATTACTTCCAGTACGACTACTACTACTACTACTACTGATACTACTACTACTACTACTACTACTACTACTACTACTACTACTAGTACTACTAGTACTACTAATACTACCACCACTACTACTACTACTACTACTACTACTTCTACTACTACTACTACTACTACTACTACTGCTGCTGCTGCTACTACTACTACTACTACTAATACGACTAGTACTACTAATCGTACGAGTACTACTGCTGCTACTACTACTACTACTACTACTACGACTACGGCTACTTCTATCACAACGATTAGTACTACTATCAATACTACTTCTATGATGGTGATGGCGAGGGGGAAGAATGGTCTTCTCTGCTTTGACCCCTTCTCGCTGAGGATGGCGGGAATTGCACCCCTTCGCGGGTTGTCGCCGCGGCCGCCGCCGCCGCATTCGTCTTTTCATTGTTCGTCGTTCGTCGTCTTCGTCGTTGTCGTCGTCGTCGTCGTTCTCCTGATCCTCCTCCTCTTCTCTCATGTGGTGGCACCGCTTGGTGGGCACGGGCCCCGTGGAGTGCAGAGACAAAGCCAGCCGAACGTTTGTTGAAACCCCGCCCTCTCGCCCTCCCCTCGCCGTTTCACTCGGCGTGGTAAAGTAAGGTGTGGCGTTGAACGGTATGGAATGGGTGGTGTGGTATGGCATGGTATGGAATGGATGGTGTGGTATGGTGGTTCGTGTTCGTGTGGTGGGGTATGGTGGCTCGTGTTCTGGGATATGGGGCGAAGCCTTGGCATGCCCAGCCAGCGCAGGGTGAAACCCTGGCGCGCCCAGCCACCGCAGGACGAGGCCTTGGCAAACCGTGGGCACAGCTACATATTTAAGTGGCTTGCGCCATTCCGCTGGCCCCCAGAGGAGGAGAAGGAGGACGAGGACAAAAAGGAAGATGAGGATGAATTTGCGGCTTTTATAGTTATAGTTTTGTTTTTTTTATAATTTTATGTTTATTTTATACTTTTATATTTTTTTTAGGTATTGTGTTAGTTTTTAGTTTAGTAGAGGTTTTTATTGAAGATGAGGATGAATTTCGCTAGTAGAGGTATTACTCAGATTGTCAATATGTTTTATTTTCATTTGTCGTAATCGTAGTAGTAGTAGTAGTAGTAGTAGTAGTAGTAGTAGTAGTAGTAGTAGTAGTAGTGGTAGTGGTAGTGGTAGTGGTAGTACTCGTAGCTGTTGTTGTAGCAGTATCCGTAGCAGTTGGAGCAGTCAAACTGCTAGTAGTAGTGGTGGTAGTAGTAGTAGTAGTCGTAGTCGTAGTCGTAGTTGTAGTCGTAGTCGTAGTCGTAGTTGTAGTAGTAATTTTAGTTGGATAAGTGGTAGTCGTAGTAGTAGTAGTAGTACTAGTAGTAGTAGTAGTAGTAGTAGTAGTAGTAGTAGCAGTAGCAGTAGCAGTAGCAGTAGCAGTAGCAGTAGCAGTAGTAGTAATAGTAGTAGTAGTAGTAGTAGTAGTAGTCGTAGTAGTAGTATTAGTAGTAGTATGAGTAGCGGTAGTAGTAGGTAGTTAGTAGTAGTGTAGTAGTAGTAGTTCGTAGTCGTAGTAGTAGAGTAGTGAGTAGTTAGTTAGTAGCAGTAGTAGGTTAGGAGTAGTAGAGTAAATGAGTAGTCGTAGTAGTACTAGTACTAGTACTAGTAGTAGTGATACTGAAGTAGCAGTAACAGTAGCAGTGGCAGTGGCAGTCACAGTAGTAGTAGTAGCAGCAGCAGTAGCAGTAGCACTTGTAGCCGCAGCAGTAGCAGCAGCAGCAGCAGCAGCAGCAGCAGCAGCAGCAGTAGTAGTAGTAGTAGTAGTAGTAGTAGTAGTAGTCGTCGTCGTAGTAGCAGTAATAGTAGTCGTCGTCGTCGTCGCAGTAGTAGTAGCAGCGCACATGCATATCATTGCTTTTCCTATCTGTATGTTAGCCCTCGCAGAGTTGCTTTTTTTCAAGGCGTTCCCAGGCGCCGCCGGCGCGAATCGTGACGGTACGGGGGGGGGGCGCCGCCGGTAACGGGCGTTATCGCGAATTAAAAAATGAGCCCTAGGCAGTCTCACGTTGCGACAGTGCCATCACCCATTATTGACAGGGACATGCGGCATCATGCGGCATCGTACATCAGCACGCAACAGCAAACGTCAGCGCGCAGCGACAAACAGCAGCAGAGAGGGAGAGCGATAGAGAGAGAGAGAGAGAGATCAAGAGCATCCGCTGACAGGGTTAAGGCTTTCTGTAACAACAGAGGGCGTTGCGCCGACAACCGCTGCCAGGGCAGTGGCGCCCCATCGCGACGATTGCATTTAGCCGAACCTGCGTTGCCCACACCGATGACCCTCCATGAACTTTGACACCCCCCCGTGCCTGGCGCAACATTTGGTGCAACCCTTCGGCTGGCGCAGCACATGGACGGCGCCAACCATGGTGCAGCTTGTGGCACACCCCATGGCGTAATTAGCTGCAGGAAGGCGACGGGGCGGGCGGCGCACGAACTAGGAGGTAACGAGCAAGGGGCGGAAAAAAAGGAGGGGGCGGCGGTGGACAGCATGGACGGGGAGGGAAGGTTGTCGTCGCGAGTCTCGGTGAACGGGGAACTTATGGGGGGAGGATTGGGGCAAACATCAGAGGCATCACCAACGGCGGCGCATATTTACCCAGCCTTCGCCCCAACGAATGTGGTTTCTGGCATTGGCGACCCCCGCCCTAGCAACATGCACGGGGAGACGTTCGATATGTACCGAACGGGCAAGATGACTCTCCTACGTGCGCCTGATCTGGCTGAGCCTGCGCCCGCGCTGCTACCCGTCGAACGAAAGCAAGGCGCATTGGTGGCGTGTGTTCGGTCTACTGCCAGGTCGTGGCATCATTTGAGATTTAGACAACCACAGCAGTTCAATCCCATTCCTCGCGACCCCGCATGGGGCTCTCGAGCAAAGAAAACACTGCATACGGCTCGGGCCTGTCGAATTGAAGGTGACACGCAATATTGATGGCACGGAATACCTCTACGTCTACGCCCGCAATTCCGGCCACAGCGGGCACGAGGGCGGTGGGTTGCTCGGTTTCGGCGACCACGCGGCTGTAGCCGAACGTCCGCGCCGGTGTGTCCATCCAGACGTTGCCGTGCTCGTTTCCTCGTTCGCGAAGGTGGAGTGAGTTAGTTACACTGTCAAAACCAAATGAGTACATGTCGAACAGGCGGAGAGAAAGAGGAGGCAATTTATTCGATCGCCGCCTCCGGTCTCCACCCTCTCCGCGCCGCTGCAATCGCGAATAACAGCAAAGTGGCTGTCTAGTAGTCCGAGTGTGGCTCGGGCTTGTGCGTTGGCCGAGGCCCATACCCTCCGGCTGCCAGCCTCGCCCTCCTGCCGTTGGCCGAGTGTCGCTGCCATTCCGGCTGGCCAGCCTCACCCGCCGCTTCCCATCTCCTCCCTGTGGTGTTGCCACTCTGGCTGCTCAGCCGCGCCCGCCTTTGAGAGGATTTTTAGGGGGCACGTGCGCGTTTGGCTCGTGGTTGCGACGCATCTGGCGCCCTCGCTCTGCTCATGTTGGCCTGGTCAGCGCGCGTTTGTTGCGTTGACTTGCGATTGGCCTGCATCTGGAGAGCACATTGAGCCGCCAACAAAGAGTGAACCCGGCGCGGCACAAAGTCGGGGAAAGTTTCCCGTTGCATGGGTTACATGGGCACGTTGCGTGGCATCGTTTGGCAAATTGTTTGGCGTAGTGCATGGCGTTGCATGGCAATTCTTTGTAAATCGACCGCGTACGCGTTCTGACATCGACCAATTTGTGTAAGGGAAACAACGTGGGTAAAATTCATGGAGCACGCGGAGCACTCACCATTTTCATGAGGTGTTTTGATCTGTCAGGGGGTCCTGGGGAACAGTAACCCTACTAGCATAGGTCTTGGCTCTCAATGAGAAGTTGGCTTGCCATTGGTACGTAACAGTTCTGCCTCGTTTCATAGATGCGATCGCCGCCCCGAGGCGGTGGCGACGCCGAAGTAGGCGTTCAAGATCGAACACTCGCCAGGGGCTCGTTTCTGGCCCATTGGCCCACGAAAAAAAAACGAACGGCACGATATGAACGATCGGTTCGACCGCCTTTGGAAAGTCTCCGAGGGCGGCGGAGATCGCTCAAGGTCAAGCCGATCGGGCGGTGTCAGAGACCAGGGCCCACGTCGTCGGGGCAGGAGCCCGTTGCCGTCCTCATTTGAGCGACGGAGGACGCAGGGGTCGATTGCTTGGACATTTTCGCGTGAGCTTTCCGCGTAAGCTCGCGAGCGAGCGCCATCTTCTCCGCGCGGTGTGCCACGCTGGCGGCCCGCGTAAGCCGCGGCGTCTGCCCGGGTAAGCAGCGGCAGAAGTGACGAACGAACAACACACACCCATACCCATAGGGAGGTCGTTGGGTGGAGGATTGGCTATGGGTATGGGTGCGGGTTGTCGGACCCTGCGGAACGCTCCCGTTCGAGCGGGGACCCCCATCCGACAACACCCACCCATAGCCCTCTCCGATCCCCCTGTGGGTATGGGTGTGTGTTGCTGGTTCGTCAAGACGTGCGGCCCGCGCTAGCCGTTCTCGCCTTCGTGTCGGCCAGGCAGAGTTCGTTTGCCTGAATTCCCAGCCCCCTGATGGTGCACATGATGCCTGATGGTTTTTGAGCTCCACTTCTGGCAGCACATGGTCGGACGCTCAGCAACCGCAATTTTTTTAGGATCACCCGGTGGGGCGCGAAGGAAAATTTTCCTCGCGGATTGGGCCAGGGCGTTCTTCCCTCGGGAGCGGCGCGAGGGCGTGCCAAGGGCCACGGAGAGCTCCGAGCGGCGCGCGGCGCAGAGCGCAGAGTGTTGGGAGTGTCTGCGAGCGAGTGCGGCTCAAGCGGACTGGACGTTTTTGTTCCTGTTTGCGCATGCAGTGACACTCTACGTAGGCCTCCCGGATGGGGTCGGAGTGTCGCGCCACATCGTCGATGCATCGGCGGTGCGGCTCGAGGCGGAGGCAGATGTTCTCCACGCCGCGGTCGTTGGTGCGTCGCCGATGCTGTCGATGCATCCGTGATGCATCGCCCATGCGGCGCGATCCTCCGAACCCATCTACTCGGACCCCATCTTGGAGGCCTCTAGGAACGGGAGACTGCTTTTCATCTCCTCTCGCGCGTGACGGTCGTTCTGCGGGCCTCCCCCCCCCCACCCCTCCAACGGTAACGGTAACCGTACGTGTGGGGGGGGCGGGGGGGCGGGTTGGACCCCCCCCCGCATGTTGAAGCTCGCGCGCTCCCGCCCCGACGTGCCTATCCCGCCCAAGCGTTGCCCGTTTCCTGGTCGGAGGGCACCGACTATACACCTACACCGATCCTGGCCAGGATCGGTGTTGGTGCATGCTTGGTGCCCTCTCACCTGGGGCCCCAGCCCCCTTCTCCACCCCAGGATAGCGAAGGTGACAGGAACCAATAGACAAAGCATGTCCGGGCTTCCAGGCAAGGCGACGTTCGACGACAGCACCGACGGGACCGAGACGATGTCGATCTGCACGATAACCATCCAGGAGCTGATGTGTTGCTTCCCAACATTCCACACAGGGAGGAACTTGGGTGCATGTGCATGCTGGGACAGAAAGGGGCAGGTTGCTTCAGGAGGGGAAAAACACACAGACACAATTAAATGTGGGAGAATATGGGAAGTGGGGGGGGGAAGAAAACAAAACCCGAACATATGAAAAAATATAGGACATTATGTTATTTGTGTGTATATTTATTAGTGTGTCCCAAGGCCCCTTCACATGCGGCATGGTGCGGAGGAGGAGGAGGAGGAAGACGAGGAGGATCAGCGGCAGGTCGGGCGGGCCAAGGATCAATGTGAGGAGGAGGACGACGAGGATCAGGGAGGAAATGAGCAGGATTGGATTGCACCTCAATGCATGCGAGTCGAACTGCTCGCCGGTGAAAGGGAGACGAGGTGAGAAGAAGGAAGCGAAGGGGGAGGATCAGGAGGAACAGGAGCGACAGGGCAGGGAGGAGGAGCAGGAGCAAAAGATGGATTTGGGGAACATGGGGCGAGAGTGGAGGCGCGGCAGCAGGAGCAGGAGCGGGGGGAAGGTGAGAGCGAGCAGGGCTTGGCAGCGGCGAGCAGCAGTACGAGGGGGCAGGGGGAGGGCGGGGGAGCATGGAGGCGGGGGAGGGAGTGGGCAGGGTTGAGTCGGGCGTGTCCCTCTACAGGAGGAATGTTCCAAAGTAGTCAAAATCGGGGGTGGATAGACCTCCTACCCTGACACGTCGATTAGTGAATTGTCCGTGTTCGGTTCTCGAGAGGGCGCCGCGGCCGCTATGTTCCAGGCTTGCGCCCGCCAGGTTTGGGCCTCAGGTCGTTTTCACTAAACCACGTTTTACTAAAGGGGGGCCTGTCCATCCCCGAAGGAATGTTCCAAAGTAGTCAAAAATAGTATGGGGACGGTTTTGTTGCGTTTTGTTTCAACAGCGTTTGAGCTGTTGTTGGAGCAGTTGTGGGCATTTGTTGTTTACATGTTCTGCCCAAAAAACCGCCTGTACGGGGGACATGCCCAACCCAAAAGTAGGGAAGAGATGGAGGCACCATCGCGGCACGAGTGCTCTGCCGATGTTCTGCGTCTGGGGACCTTGCCGGTGCCCCGGACCGCAAGAAGAGAATGGAGGATCAGATCGCTAGTCGGTGTGAATGCCGTGATCGGTCAAGTTGGAGCGATCTATGCGGCTTCAGAAACCCACGCACGAGTCATTCATACACGATCTTGCCGTCATTTTCCAAGGGTGTCCGCGGTGTGGCTGCTTCGGCTGCGTCGCAGTCGGGTACGCTCGTCTGGTTCGGTTTGGTAGGTTGTTTCGTAGTTGCCGCGCCGTTGCCCCCTTCGCCGGTGCGCACAAGGGGTTGGCGCGATGGGGGCGTCTTCCTAAGACCGCAGGGTGCTTCTTGGAAGGGCCTGGATGCTGCTAGGAAGGCTTCTTAGAAGCCTCCAGACGCGTCGCATGGGCTCCCCCCGCCTTCGTTGGCCGAAGGCCGTCCTCCTCGCGCCACCCCCGGGTGCGCGCCGCCAGGACCTCGGCTGCTTCTGGAAGGTTCGGTGTTGGTCTCGCTGTCGGTTCGGCAGGTGTTGCACTGAGCTGTCGGCGTGGACGGCCCTGCTGGCACGCGGGGCCACACTTCTCACCACCCACCAGACCACCCCAACCCAACCCGAAGGCCCCAATTTATCCTCGATTTCCAGTGGGGGGGGGGTCGTCGAACATCGAGAAAACACATATGGAATCCGTACCCCCCCCAACCCGAAATTCGGGTCTTCGGGTTGGGTTGGGGTGGTCTGGTAGGTAGTCAACTTCTACTAACGACACAAGCGCATGCAGCATGAGCCGTGAGAGGTCCTGTCTTGGTGTCCTCGATTCGCCTGGCTTCCCGCGTCGTGTGGTGCTCTGCTGCCTCCCGCTTGCCGTCCGTGGGCTGCCCCCGTGTTCCTCAAGGGCTCCCAGGAGGGCGCGAAGTTATTCGCGCTTCGCGCTTCGCCGTCCTCCTTCCTCCTCCCCCTCCTCCTCGTCCTCCTCTTCTCCCCCTTGGGGGGCGGCGCGAGAGCGCGAAGTTATTCGCGCTTCGCGCTTCGCGCAGCGCGAAGCGCGAACTTAGGAGCCCTTGGTTCCTCCGTCCTCCCTGCGCGCGTGCGCCGCTTCCTCGGTCGCGCGTGACGTGTCCAGCTCTTCTGGTGGTATGTTGCCTTACGCCGTGAAGCTGCCGGGTGATGGTCTTGTGGTGGAGATGAGCTTGTCGAGGTCCGCGCGGATCTCTTGGGTCGCCGTTGGGCCCTCCACAGGCGGTGCCTGACCCCCAGCAGTCTGTGCCTGTGTATTGTCCTCTTCTCCTCACAGCCAGCAGCAAACCGAAGGTTGTGATGTTTTGATCGTTCTCGCGTTGAGACTTGTAGTCAAGATTGCTGAATGAGTCTCGCGTTGGCCTCGAGAGGGGCCGTGTTTTCCGCGATCCTTCCCCTGGCCTGGGCTCAATGAGGCCTGGAAGGGGTTTCGTTCCTTAATTGAAGTGTTTATGGTGGCACTTGTTGTACGAGGCTTATGGGTTTCAGAAGCCACAGCCGACCCCAGCATGCGTGCGAAGATTTAGGTGCGGCTCTTCCCAAATCGCACTTCGATGATAGCGCCATGCTTTCTCCTTCCGGCCGCTACAGAAATTCGACACCGTCACCGAGCCATACGTGCGAAGATCCGAGCGCAGGGCAATGTCGGTGTCGGTTTTGATCCTCCAGCCCCTGTATAAAGCTGCTCTTGCAGGGAGATGCTGATACGCAGGGTTGGCTGGGAGGCCAGGGGCTCTCGCTCATCTTCTCTGGATTCCCTCGTCCTCGTCCTCGTCATCCTTCTCATCATCCTCATCCGCCTCCACCTCCCTCCTCCCCCTCCCTCTCCTCCTTCCTCCTCCTCCTCCTCCTCCTACTCCACGTCCTCCTCCTCCTCCTCCTCCTCCTCCTCCTCCTCCTCCTCCTCCCTCTCCTCCTCTTCCTCCTCCTCCTCCTCCTCCTCCTCCTCCTCCTCCTCCGCCTCCCCCTCCTCCTCCTCCTCCTCCTCCTCCTCCTCCCTCCTCCTCCTCCTCCTCCTCTCATCTCTCCTCCTTCCTACTCCTCCTCCTCTCTCGTTCTCCTCCTCCTCCTCCTCCGCCTCCTCCTCCTCCTCCTCCTCCTCCTCTTCCTCCCCCTCTCCATCTGTCTATCCCTGGCTCTGGCCCCCATGCAGTTTCCTTGCGGCCCCAGCACGCGCTGCATTTTCATTTACACTACGCACGAGGTCGATTTGCATCCTTGTCTTCTTGTGTCTGCACCTCTCGTTCCTCACCTGATGTACTGTGCCATCGCCTTCATTTGTTGTGCGCCTCTATCCCTTGTCTCTTTTTGCAAATTTCCCCACGCGTAGATCTAGCTGTCGTGATGCCACAACTTCACGGATCCATTGAAAACTTGTCCAGCGATAGGTGAGCCGAAATGGACGGTGTTATGAGGCGACCGTTGCCGCGAAGCGTGTGAAAGGTTTGCCAAGATGTGTCGGTGCCGCGATTCGACCGTTGCCATTGGGGCTTTCGATGGAGTTCCCCACGGGGCCACGAAGCTTGTGAGGGGTGTTGCAAAACTGACTCGAGGCGGCATCGGACCGTTGCCAATGCTGAGGCCTTCGGTGGAGTTCGCACGGGGCCACGAAGCGCGTGGTGCCCGAATGGACCGGGTCGGCACGCGACAGCTGCCATTGGGGCCTTGGGTGTAGCTCCCTACGGGGCCGCGAAACGTGTGACGAGTGTGCAGACGTACGACCCGATCTAAAGAGGCCACAACTTCACGGATCCATTGAAAACTTGTCCAGCGATAGGTGAGCCGAAATGGACGGTGTTATGAGGCGACCGTTGCCGCGAAGCGTGTGAAAGGTTTGCCAAGATGTGTCGGTGCCGCGATTCGACCGTTGCCATTGGGGCTTTCGATGGAGTTCCCCACGGGGCCACGAAGCTTGTGAGGGGTGTTGCAAAACTGACTCGAGGCGGCATCGGACCGTTGCCAATGCTGAGGCCTTCGGTGGAGTTCGCACGGGGCCACGAAGCGCGTGGTGCCCGAATGGACCGGGTCGGCACGCGACAGCTGCCATTGGGGCCTTGGGTGTAGCTCCCTACGGGGCCGCGAAACGTGTGACGAGTGTGCAGACGTAGACCCGAAAAGGAGGAGAGAGGAGGGCCTGAGGTGCCCCCCCAAAAAGGTTCCCATGCGATATGGCATATGATTACTAGCCGGCCGCTCTGCGGTTGATCGGGAGTTTCTGTATATAGAAGAAGGTGCGTGCGCTTGTTGGCGAGGGTGAGGATGAGGTTCCTCCTCCTCCTCCTCCTCCTCCTCCTCCTCCTCCTCCTCCTCCATCCTTCTCTTGCCTCCGTCTGTCCTCCTCCACCCCGCAGCTCCATCATCTTCTCCTCCTCCTCCTCCTCCTCCTCCTCCTCCTCCTCCTCCTCCTCCTCCTCCTCCTCATTCCTCTCTGGGCACCTCCCCCGGGGCGCGGATCCACCGGATCTGTCCGGATCTGTCCGGAAACGGTGCCGGAGGCCGCTCTGGGCTCCTCTGGGCACCTCCCCCGGGGCCGGTTTTGTGAGGATGTCTCAAGCGAGGGCGCCGGTTTGGGATTCGTCCCCGGATCCAGCGGATCCGTCCGGATCCGTCCGGAAACGGTGCCGGAGGCCGCTCTGGGCTCCTGTGGGCACCTCCCCCGGGGCCGGTTTTGCGGGGATGTCTCAGGCGAGGGCGCCGGTTTGGGATTCGCCCCCGGATCCAGCGGATCCGTCCGGATCCGTCCGGAAACGGTGCCGGAAGCCGCTCTGGGCTTCTCTGGCCATCTCCCCCGGGGCCGGATTTGCGGGGATGTCTCAGGCGAGGGCGCCGGTTTGGGATTCGTCCCCGGATCCAGCGGATCCGTCCGGATCCGTCCGGAAACGGTGCCCGAGGCCGCTCTGGGCTCCTGTGGGCACCTCCCCCGGGGCCGGTTTTGCGGGGATGTCTCAGGCGAGGGCGCCGGTTTGGGATTCGTCCCCGGATCCAGCGGATCCGTCCGGATCCGTCCGGAAACGGTGCCGGATGCCGCTCTGGGCTCCTCTGGGCACCTCCCCCGGGGCCGGTTTTCCGGGGATGTCTGAGGCGAGGGCGCCGGTTTGGGATTCGTCCCCGGATCCAGCGGATCCGTCCGGATCCGTCCGGATACGGTGCCGGAGGCCGCTCTGGGCTTCTCTGGGCACCTCCCCCGGGGCCGGTTTTGCGGGGATGTCTCAGGCGAGGGCGCCGGTTTGGGATTCGTCCCCGGATCCAGCGGATCCGTCCGGATCCGTCCGGAAACGGTGCCAGAGGCCGCTCTGGGCTCCTCTGGGCACCTCCCCCGGGGCCGGTTTTGCGGGTATGTCTCAGGCGAGGGCGCCGGTTTGGGATTCGTCCCCGGATCCAGCGGATCCGTCCGGATCCGTCCGGAAACGGTGCCGGAGGCCGCTCTGGACTCGTGCTCTTCGCGCCGGGGGTGAGGATGACGTGAGTTCCACAGAAACTCCCTCAAATTAGATTTACGTATTGCATCCAGCTGAAGCGTTTCGAGAAACGGATATGGCGTGGGGATTTCGCTTCTAGCTACCGATGGCGCAATCGTTGGCGACATACGATTACATGTGCTGCATCCAGCGCAAGCGCTCCGATAACGAACCTGGCGAGGGGTAAGTGGCGAAAATGGCTAGGGGCAATTCCGTCGGAGTGTATGTTAAGCCATGTTGAGGTTCTGTTCAGTCTTGGCCACCACAGTAGTCACAGCTATGGACGCAGGTTAATTTGAGGGAGTTTCTGTGGAACTACCGTCATCCTCACCCCCGGCGCGGGGAGGTGCCCAGAGGAGCCCAGAGCGGCCTCCGGCACCGTTTCCAGACAGATCCGGTGGATCCGCCGACGAATCCCAAACCGGCGCCCTCGCTTGAGACATCCTCACAAAACCGGCCCCGGGGGAGGTGCCCAGAGGAGCCCAGAGCGGCCTCCGGCACCGTTTCCGGACAGATCCGGTGGATCCGCGTGACGAATCCCAAACCGGCGCCCTCGCTTGAGACATCCTCACAAAACCGGCCCCGGGGGAGGTGCCCAGAGGAGCCCAGAGCGGCCTCCGGCACCGTTTCCGGACAGATCCGTGGATCCGACGAATCCCAAACCGGCGCCCTCGCTTGAGACATCCTCACAAAACCGGCCCCGGGGGAGGTGCCCAGAGGAGCCCAGAGCGGCCTCCGGCACCGTTTCCGGACAGATCAGGTGGATCCGCCGATGAATCCCAAACCGGCGCCCTCGCTTGAGACATCCTCACAAAACCGGCCCCGGGGGAGGTGCCCAGAGGAGCCCAGAGCGGCCTCCGGCACCGTTTCCGGACAGATCCGGTGGATCCGGTGGATCCGCCGACGAATCCCAAACCGGCGCCCTCGCTTGAGACATCCTCACAAAACCGGCCCCGGGGGAGGTGCCCAGAGGAGCCCAGAGCGGCCTCCGGCACCGTTTCCGGACAGATCCGCCGATCCGGTGACGAATCCCAAACCGGCGCCCTCGCTTGAGACATCCTCACAAAACCGGCCCCGGGGGAGGTGCCCAGAGGAGCCCAGAGCGGCCTCCGGCACCGTTTCCGGACAGATCCGGTGGATCCGGTGGATCCGCCGACGAATCCCAAACCGGCGCCCTCGCTTGAGACATCCTCACAAAACCGGCCCCGGGGGAGGTGCCCAGAGGAGCCCAGAGCGGCCTCCGGCACCGTTTCCGGACAGATCCGGTGGATCCGACGAATCCCAAACCGGCGCCCTCGCTTGAGACATCCTCACAAAACCGGCCCCGGGGGAGGTGCCCAGAGGAGCCCAGAGCGGCCTCCGGCACCGTTTCCGGACAGATCCGGTGGATCCGCCGACGAATCCCAAACCGGCGCCCTCGCTTGAGACATCCTCACAAAACCGGCCCCGGGGGAGGTGCCCAGAGGAGCCCAGAGCGGCCTCCGGCACCGTTTCCGGACAGATCCGCTGGATCCGGATCCGACGAATCCCAAACCGGCGCCCTCGCTTGAGACATCCTCACAAAACCGGCCCCGGGGGAGGTGCCCAGAGGAGCCCAGAGCGGCCTCCGGCACCGTTTCCGGACAGATCCGCTGGATCTGGTGGATCCGCCGACGAATCCCAAACCGGCGCCCTCGCTTGAGACATCCTCACAAAACCGGCCCCGGGGGAGGTGCCCAGAGGAGCCCAGAGCGGCCTCCGGCACCGTTTCCGGACAGATCCGCTGGATCCGGTGGATCCGCCGACGAATCCCAAACCGGCGCCCTCGCTTGAGACATCCTCACAAAACCGGCCCCGGGGGAGGTGCCCAGAGGAGCCCAGAGCGGCCTCCGGCACCGTTTCCGGACAGATCCGGACAGATCCGGTGGATCCGCGCCCCGGGGGAGGTGCCCAGAGGAGGAATGAGGAGGAGGAGGGAGGAGGAGGAGGAGGAGGAGGAGGAGGAGGAGGAGAAGATGATGGAGCTGTGGGGTGGAGGAGGACAGACGGAGGCAAGAGAAGGATGGAGGAGGAGGAGGAGGAGGAGGAGGAGGAGGAGGAGGAGGAACCTCATCCTCACCCTCGCCAACAAGCGCACGCACCTTCTTCTATATACAGAAACTCCCGATCAACCGCAGAGCGGCCGGCTAGTCCAGGTTTCCGTTAACCTCGGGGGTGGACAGAACCCCCAACAGTGACACGCCGATTAGTGAATTGTCCGTTTTCCGTTCTCGAGAGGGCGCCGCGGCCGTTATTTTCCAGGCTTGCGCCCGCCAGATTTGGGCGTCAGGTCGTTTTCACCAAACCACGTTTTACTAATGGGGAGTCTGTCCATCCCCGATAACTCAGCATTACTTCGCATCATTTCCGAGAACCCACCTCGGGCATCTCAGACGGTGCGCAGGTTGGTGCTGGCGCGTCGTGGATTCAACACAGGTCGGCCTGAGAGCTGGCCCCCCCCCCCCCCCCCCCGAGGAGGAGGAGGAGGAGGAGGTGGAGGAGGGGGATTGATCGCAGTATCACCCGCCAGGACGGGGTCTGCACCCCCGCCAGTGCCCTCGCTGGGCGGTCAGCGTGCGCCGGGGCGCTCGCTCGCCTGGTGGGCTCGCGGCGCGGCGACTGGCCGTCCTTCGCGTGCCCACGGTGCGGGCGTGCAGGGCGATTCGAAACCGTAACCACCCAGGGCTCTGTTCGATCCCTCCGATTCGATTCGATCCGATTTCGGTGGCTTCCGATTCCGATTCGACTCGACCGGGGATTCCGATGTGGGTCCCGATTCCTTGTTGGAGGCATACTGGCCTGCCGATCTCCGCCGATTCGATTCCTTTCGATCGCCGATCCGACTTGTCGATTCGACTCTGGGCTCTCCTGCTGTTCGGCCGTGCAGGGAGACTCGAGGCCGTAACCGCTTCCTACGGTGCGTTTCCAGAGCACTGTGACCGCATGGGCGTCTTTCAGTGGCGGGGTGGCGGCGATGATTCGCTGTGGGCGATTTCGATAGTGTTTCTCTTGCGGCTCGTCTTGATTTTTTCGTTCCCCCTTCCTCATGTTTCCTCCGCATCTCTCCGCATCATCACCATCCGTGTTCCTGCATTCTCGGCTTTCAAATCCTTATCTATTCCTGGAAGCCAGAAGATCTTGCACGATAACTTGCAGATTTGTACCAGGAATTTACGCCGTGAGGCGTTCATGCTTTTATAACGGATTCTGGGATCTCCATTTATCGGCGGTAGTAGGTCCACGGCATCCCTGGGAGTTGCTACAGAGCGCAGCAAATTCCCCAATGATCCTCAGACGCCATTGGCACCCCGCGGTTCCTGATTCTCATGGCATTCTTGATCATTTTAGAGGGCTACGCCTTGATGCCCAAGCTAGCTAGACGTTGAGCGTCCCCCAATGTGCATCGAACTTGCCGGAGCTCTCATGAGCCCCCCCCCCTGGCTGGGCTACTTTGTTAGCGTTCGAGGGCTTCGAAAGTGGAATGTATCGAAACACATGTCGGTGATCGTTGGATGTCTTCCAGGCGGTGTTGGGTTCTATGACAAGCACCCTCCTTTGCGAAAGAGCGTGCTGAGGCATAACTTAGCAACATGCCGCGCATTTGCCGTCCAAGATGTTACCGTGCGCATGACAGGCCTTGCTGATATGCAAGTGCTGAACACCGACCAGCTCGCGCTCACTAAAAGAAGCTGGATGGAGCAGTTCGAAGAGGCCTCATCCGAAAGGAGGATTGGGAGAAGAAGATGTGCGAGGAGGAGGAGGAGGGAAACGACGCAGTAAAGACGAATTCTCGCGGCGCTAAGGCCAGCGCTACATGGCGACTTCCTTTCCATCCGCGTAGCTGTTGGAGGCTTTCAGACATAATGCGGGCGGCGCTCAGGCCAGAGCCGCATTTTGAAGACGACCGCCCACTTGCGAAACTGCTGGAATAAGGCGAGTGTGAGAGCCACATTGGACCCCCACTCCATCCGTGTAACTATTGGCCGAATGCATGGTACGGGGTCATGAGTGGGAAGGACTTCTCCAGCGACACGCCCGGCAGGCCTTCCAGGCACGCCCGGTGGCCAGACGAGGGCGAGGTATGTATCAAGAGAATTGGTGGAAGAGATGCGAGGTGCAGCAGAAGGAGCATGGGGGGGTAGAGGGAGAGGAAGCGGAGGGAAAGGGAGGAGTACAAAGAGGCGGAATGGGAGGGAGAGAGGGAGGGAGAGAGCGACTAGGAAGGGCAACGGATGGAACGAATGATTACGATGACGATGGTGATGATGCTGCTGATGATTATGATGATGATGATGATGATGATGATGCTGATGATGATGATGATGATGATGATGATGATGATGATGCTGATGCTGATGCTGATGATGATGATGATGATGATGATGATGATGATGATGATGATGATCATGTTGATGATCATGGCGGTGGTGTTGGTGGTGGTGGTGGTGGTAGTGATGATGGTGGTGGTGATGATGTTGATGATGACGATGATGACAATGGCAATCGAGAACGATTACGATGACGACGACGATGGTGATGATAATGACGATGGGATGGTGATGATGATGATCATGCTAATGGTGAGGATGGTGAGGATGATGCTGATGCTGATGCCGAGGAGGACACGATTCGGAGGAGGAGCAGAATGATGTGGTGGATGAATAGGAAGTTGATGACGAGGTTGGGCGATGCGGAGGCGGATGGGATGAGGGATCATGGCGAGGGTATATGATGAGCAGTGGTGATGATGATGGCGGTGGTGAGAGGTACGAACGTGCTAACGAATGTGGTTAGTTTGATCATGCTCGTGGAGACCAGGGCCGTGCTTCGGGCCAGGGAGGGCGCGCCCTTTCAGAAATCCAGAGTTTCATATCTCGGCGGCACGCGAGGGGGCGACTTGAGAAGGAGAAGGCCTTCTCAGAAGGCGGCGGGACTTCTCAGAAGCCCTCGCGCCTTCTGGGAAGTTGTTTTTGTCTTCGGGGAAGGCTTAGAAAACTTTTCAGCAGAAGCCCGGGGGACTTCCGAGCCTTCTGAGAAGGTACGCCCCTTCTCACTTCCCCCTCTGGCTCGCCGCCTAATATCCTGAGGCACGGAGTGGCACCCCACGCCTGAGTGGCTCGGCGGAGGCTTGCAGGAGGAGGAGGAGGAGGAGGTCAGAGGAGGAAAAGGTACCCATACCACTGCCCTTCCCTCGTTTTCCCCCTGTTAGCCTCCTCGGGGGCCCTCGTCGCCACGGCTAGATTCGCCGTCCTCTGAGAATTGGTGATTCATTATCACGATTCCCGTCTTACTCGGCTCCTGAGGATCATGTATTGCTGCGGACTGCACCGTGGTACTTCATACAAATCCGAGTGGCTCGATTGCCCTCTAAGCCCTACATTCGCAGCCCCGCAGCTCTGGTGGAGCTCTCTTCGGAGCATCCGCGACCCCCCTCGTCCTGCCCCTCCTCCTGCTGCTGTTGTTGGCTTCGGGGGGCTGTTGAAGAGAGCGCGGGGCGCGCACAAAAAACATCGCATCGCGGTAACTGCAATACGGTCACCGGCGGCGGCAGCGACGACGATGATTCTAGACGCTTCGCGCAACCCCACCAGCCCATCCAGAAACGAGGCCCAGAGGAGTTGCCTCGATCAGGGAAGTGGGCAGCACACAGATCACCACCCACCAAACCACCCCAACCCAACCCAAAGGCCTCAGTGTACCCTCCATTTCCAGTGGGGGGGGGTCGGGGAACATCGACAAAAACACATAGGGAGCCCATACCCCACCCAACCCGAAATTCGGGTCTCCGGGTTGGGTTGGGTTGGGGTGGTCTTGTAGGTGGTCAACAGAGGAAGGGTCCCCCAGCGGAGGCCCCTTGGAGCGTAGTGGCCGCTGCCGCAGAAACAAGCGCATAGACCCGCTCGCCGGGCAGGCGCACTGGTGCCGCTGACGGCGGCCTGCAGGGAGGAGGAGGAGGAGGAGGAGGAGGAGGAGGAGGAGGAGGAGGAGGAGGAGGAGGAGGAGGAGGAGGAGGAGGAGAGGAGGAGGAGGAGGAGGAGGAGGAGGAGGAGGAGGAGGAGGAGGAGGAGGAGGAGGAGGAGGAGGAGGAGGAGGAGGAGGAGCAGGAGCAGGAGCAGCAGGAGCAGGAAGCAGGAGGAGCGGAGCAGGAGCAGGAGCAGGAGGAGGAGGAGGAGGAGGAGGAGGAGGAGAGGGGAGGGGGGGGGAGGGGGGAGGAGGGGGAGGAGGAGGAGGAGGAGGAGGAGGAGGAGGAGGAGGAGGAGGAGGAGGAGGAGGAGGAGGAGGAGGAGGAGGAGGACGAGACCCCCACCATTTTTTACCACCCCAGTTGGGGATACACCCCTCGAAACCCGAATGGACTGGGCAAATCGGCCAGTGGAGCCCAGGCCACGCCGCTGGGGATGGGGATCGGTTAAACGATACTCATCCACTCCTTGGCGCCAGCTCCTCCTCCTCCTCCTCCTCCTCCTCCTCCTCCTCCTCCTCCTCCTCCTCCTACTTCTCCCCCGTTGGGGGGGAGGGTGCCGAAACGCGCCCAGAGCCCAGCAAGGCATGAGGGTGCAAGCCCGATCTGTCTGGCTGATGCTCTGGGGGGGCTGTGCCGGGGGGAGGCTGCAGCACAGCTCAACGATGTTATTTAACCGAACTTGCAGGGTGTGCCCCTTCTCTCTGCTGGGTTCCAGCGGGGCCTCTTCAGGCCCCCATGTTGACGCGCGCGCGCTTCTTTCCCCTCCTCATTCTACTCCCCTCTCTCTCCTCATCCTCATCTTCCTCCCTCCCTTCTGCCCCTCCCTTCATCCTCGGCCTCGTCCTTCCTCTCCCCGCCTCCCCCTCACCCTCACCTTCCTTCTCCTCCTCCCTCCTCGCCCCTTTTTTCCTTCTCCCTGTCAGGCCGCTTCCCCTCCCTGTGTGCTCACTGTCGCCGTCCCTGTCGCTCTCCCTCCCTCCTGCCGCTGCGGCTACAGTTGAAGCCCGACGGGGAGTCTTGCATGGACAAAGTTGTGCACTTCGCGCTCTTCCCTTGGAAGCTGATCTGCGCGTGTGTCCCCCCGCCGAGGCGTGGCGCTGCGAATCGAGTAGCAAGAAACTGCATACACACTTCCGTTTTGAACGCATCTTCAAGGGCTCCCACGAGGGCGCGAAGTTATTCGCGCTTCGCGCTTCGCGGTCCTCGTTCCTTCTCCCCCTCCTCCTCGTCCTCCTTTTCTCCCTTTGGGGGGGCGGCGCGAGGGCGCGAAGTTATTCGCGCTTCGCGCTTCGCGGAGCGCGAAGCGCGAAGTTGGGAGCCCTAGATCTTTGCTCTGAAGGTCCGTGCGGATGTGATGGATCGACGTTGGGCCCCCCATTGGCGGCCTCTCCATCGCAGACCCCCGGGCGCGCGAGTCCGGCACCGATCCGAGAGAAATCCGCGCGGACCTCTGCGAGCATGGGTTTATGCAGTTGTGTTGTTCCTCTAGTAGTGTCGGTGCTTTTCTCTCGCTCCTGGCTGGGAGAGAGAGAGAGAGAGAGAGAGAGAAAGAGAGAGAGGAAGGAAGGAAGGAAGAGGGAGAGGAGAAGAAGTCACGGGGGAGCGCTTGGGGATCGCTCCTCCCCTTTCCCTTCTTCTCCTCTTCCTCCCCCGCCTCCTCCCCCATCCTGCTCCAGCCCAACCCTCATCCTTCTCAGTCCGCTGCCTCCATCCTCCCCCTCCCCCATCATCCTCTCTGTCTGGATGGGGCTCGTGCTGCGGGTGAGCCATGCCGACAGAAAAGAGACGGGCACAAGGGCAGGGGGAGGAGGAGGAAGAGGAGGAGGAGGAGGAGGAGGAGGAGGAGGAGGAGGGGCAGGAAGAGGAGGGGGAGGGATGCGCGAGGGCAGAGGGACGGGCCGTTTCGATATCGGTGTCGGCAGGCTCGATCTGATGATGTCTTGTGGTCCCAGCGGTCTGGCGTGGCCCGGTGCTCACACGGCGCTGCTGTGCATTCTGGTGCGGCCGGGTCGATGCGCTCACGACCCCACGGCGAAGAGGCCCGGTTCGGCGCAGGAGTCCACACATCGACCACACGTACGAGTGACCCTTCGCCGGAGTGACCTTTGGTGCGCGCTCACCGGGTTCCTCCGATCGCCGCGCTCGGCGCGATAGTAGCGTCTTGCGCGCTTGTGTTTGGCTTCCTCGCGCCCCCCAAAAAGCCGCGCACCAAAGGTCACTCTTGCCCAGGGTCACTCTTAGGTGCAGCCGAACACAGTTTCACGATGCGTACTTGGCCGCTCGTGCAGGGGACGGAGGGACCAGGGACGGGCGATTGATGGCGGCAGATCGTGGCCCCTCCGAGCAGGACTCGTTGTCGGTGTCGCCGCGGGCGTCGGCAGCTCGGCACGAGCGTCGCGAAGTTAGCAGCGGCCGCGGTCGGTTTTGTGGAGCACTGGCTGCTGAGTATCGTCCCCACGTTCCACGTTGCCAGTGCTCTGACTTGTCCCTCCACCTGCTCTGCGCCCCCCTCCCTCCCTCCCTCCACTTGGCGTCCGCCTACTCCTTCGTTCCCCCCTCCGCCTCGTTGGCTTGTTCATCGTCCCACGACCCCTGACGCTCGTGTTCTTGTCGGCATCTGCACCTTGTCGTTGGCGTCCTTGTGTGCAGTATGTCTGGGCAGGATGGCCCAGCATCTTGCGCCTTGATCGGACCAGCCCCCGTGGCTGGACTCTGGCAGTAGCCGCCCTGAGAGTCGCCTGGGCAGCCCTATTATCCTTGCATATGCCACGAGCATATACATATACATATATACATATGCACATATATATATATATATGTGTACATACCTATATATGTATATATACATATATATGTATAGAAAGAGAGAGAGAGAGAGAGGCAGACACCTTCCAGTGGATCGTTCCTTGGCCTCATGGGGAGCGTGGTCGTGTGTACGTCACAATCTAGAGCCGACTATGTTACACGCCGCCGCCCTCGCTTGAAGGCGCACGTAAACATCGTCGGCGGGTGTTTGTACATACAGTCGAAGCGTTGATCTAAGGAACCCTAAATAAGGAACGAGGCCCCTTTTTCCCATAAGTTCAACCTCGATTTCCCATGGAGCACTTGAGGAAAACCCGAGGCAAACTTTGAAACAATCAAGGAACACTGAGCCCCTCCCCAACGAAAAGGGTTCCTTCTCCAGTGCCCCGACTGTATGTATATCTATACATATATATATATATACATATATATATATATACACCTAGATGTGCACACACACACACGCATATACAGATACATATACAGACACATATACATATACATATACACATACACATACACAGACATATACCCATACATATACATATACATATATGCCCGTGGAGTATCACGCCTCACGCTCCTCCGCCTCCTCCTCCTCGTCCTCCTCCTCCTCGTCCTCCTGCTCCTCGTCGTCCTCCTCCTCCTCCTCCTCCTCCTCCTCCTCCTCCTCCTCCTCCTCCTCCTCCTCTCAGTTCACCGGCGCCGCCGCCAAGCGAATCCACCTGTCCTGCCAGACCCGGGCTCGGGGCAGGGAGCCAGAGCGTCCCCGCCGCTGCCCTGAGCGCGACGTGAGCCCCGGGGACCTGTCCGCAACCACCGCCCGAGACCAGGAAATCGACGCTCGGTATCGGTATCCTCGGCTGGCGGTGCTTGTGTTGGGGGCGGCAACAAGGGGGGAGATGACTAGGGGAGGGTGGATTTCATCGCGTTGGCCATGATTTTTCCTCAGATTCCATGGCGCCTCTTCTTATTTCATTACGTCCCTGGCCGCCCACTTCGGCCGCGCACATGCCGCTGGCCGCCGGCCATGATTTGCATCCCCCCCTCTTGGCCGCCCCCGATTGTGAGCGCCAGGGAACAAACAATGACATAACCTCAAAACATCGGAGGTCCGCGCAAAGTCCTCTGATCGGCGCTGGAGCCCCCTGGCGGCGCCTCCGGAGCCGCCCCTGGCGCGCTCCACGTGCCAGGGAGGGGGATCCAGCGCCGATCTGAGAAAGATGCGCAGATCTCTGATTTGTTATGCTTATGTCATGGTTCAATACCCTATTCGGGCCCTGGAGGGGCAACGACATCGATTCCCAGGTGGTGGTTATGTAGAACTTCCCGCCTCGCAGAGAGGCGCTCGCTCATTGCGCTGTCGCCTCCTCGTTCGTTCCCCCCCCCTGTGCTCTTGCCCTCGCCGTCGTCGTCCTCCGAATCGTGCGAGCCCGCGCGGGGCTACCCCTGTGCAGACGCCGAATCAGAGCCCCGAATCATCAGGGTAACTCGGGTCAGGGATAACTCGGCCAAACTCGCGTTACCCCGGACCCGAGTTACCCCGGATAACTCGGGCGTTCAGAGCCCCGAATCGTCAGGGGTAATTCGGGTCAGGGCTAACTCGGGTTCCTTTTTCGGGAATCCAAACCCGAGTTACCCCGGACCCGAGTTACTCCGGATAACTCGGGCGCCCAACCGAAGATGTCCTGTCGTGCGCTGCGCAGCGCAGCGGAGAGGGGGGGGTTGGCCGGCCGGTCCTTGGCTGCTCGTGCGCGGCCGTCTCGGAAAAGCGGCTCCCAGCTTCTGCGGCGGGTGGGTCTGCTTCGTGACCGCCCTGGCGGTGATAGGATCGCCGCGCTTCCCCGCGCTGCCGCCCGCGCGCTGCCGCCCGGCGCCTCCCCTATCGTGGCAACCGGCAGCCGAGCGTGCACGCCGTGGGCTCCCACGAGGGCGTGAGAGTTGTTCGCGGTTTGCGGTCCTCAGTCTTCGTCCTCGTCGGCTTCCCCGTCCGTCTCTTCCTCCTCCTCCTCCTCCTCCTCCTCCTCCTCCTCCTCCTCCTAGCGGCCGCAGGGTGATCCGGGGAACTCAGGAGTGGTGCCCGTCACTCCCCCAGCCAGCTGGCCCTCCCCAGCCAAGGGGCGGGTCGAGGGCCACGGGCGTGTCCCCACCAGCAGCGTTTGCCTGTGAGAAAAGTTGTGGCCTTGCCGCCACGCAGACGCTTCTCTTCGGAGTCCCAGACGGAGGAAGCAGTGGACAGCACCCAAGCCACCCCCACCCCCCTGGAGCGTGGGGGCCCGAGGACCCGGACCCAGACCCGACAATCGGCGTGTACTAAACGGCCCTGGGCGTCTACTCAGCAGCCCTGCCTTTTTCGATTCCTTCTTCGGGCGCGTTTACTAAACGACTTCGCGTGTCGGGGTGGTTATTCTCGGGGTGGACTTTTTGACCTCCATGCGTGCTCGCTCGCTCGCTCCTCTTCCCCCCCTGGGGGGTGTGGGGGCGCGAGGGCGCGACGGTGTTCGGGCTGCGCGCGGCGCGCGCAGATCGCGACCTCGCGGGAGGCCCTCGGCTTCGCGAGGCCCACTGGCGGCGGGCCGCAGAAAGCGGGCAGCGGCGTCTCGCCGCGCGCCACAGGCGTGAAGTCGGGCCGGTCCCTCCGCAGGGGGAACAGTCAAATGTAGTCAGGAACCAGGCTGGGGACGACTTTTATCACATACATACCATGTTTGGCTATTTGGGAGGATCTGTTTTGTTGTATTATTCTTATTATTATTACTATTATTATTATTATTATTATTTTTTTTGTTCGTCCAAAGTCCGCCCGACCTGGCAGCAGGCGCGCGCGGCGGCTCGCCGCGTGCCCCGAGCGGCGGCCTGCAGCGGTGGAGCGGGGCGAGGGCGCCGTGGCTCGGCGCGGCGCCGCGGGGGCGGGCCGCGGGCCCCTGCGCCGCGCGTCGGCCCTTCCCCTGGGGAGATCCTCCTCCTCCTCCTCCTCCTCCTCCTCCTCCTTCCTCCTTCCTCCTCCTCCTCCTCCTCCTCCTCCTCCTCCTCCTCCTCCTCCTCTCCACCTCCTCCTTCTCCTCCTCTCCTCCTCCTCCTCCTCCTCCTCCTCCTCCTCCTCCTCCTCCTCCTCCCTCTCCCTCGTCCTCCTATGATGTTCCAACCTTTCTTTTAGCCTTGATCGCCAGGATGAGTTTTGAGTACCAGGAAAGTGCCGGAACTGGAGGGCTTTCACGTGTCGGGTCCTGGGAGACACTCGCTCGACACTGTCTCCACACCGTTTCGACACTTTTCCGGGTGCTCGAACTTATCCGTAAGGGCTTCGCCCCCTGCCGCCGGCCCCCTCTCTCGGAGAATGGGCCATGGAAGAGCTAAGTCATGAGGCCTTGGCGCTGTCGTGAAGCAGTATCGAAACTTCATGCGAAGCCGATTCGCAATCAGCAAAACCAACTGATCACAAGAGGGGTTACCACACCTGGCGATTGGTAAGACGTGTATGGTTTACGGGCTTGGTTACCACACCTTGCGATTAAAGGGCCGAGGGAGTTCTCGCAGTTTGGGTTACCACGCCTTGCGATGGATGTGCGTGAAGGGTGGCACCGAATTTCAGAAATGTTGCAAATCCCCTGTGTTTTTGGACCCTGACCCCGCGGATCTGCGTGAGGGGTGGCACCGAATTTCAGAAATGTGGCAAATCCCATGTGTTTTTGGACCCTGACCCCGCGGATCTGCGTGAGGGGTGGCACCGAATTTCAGAAATGTGGCAAATCCCCTGTGTTTTTGGACCCTGACCCCGCGGATCTGCGTGAGGGGTGGCACCGAATTTCAGAAATGTGGCAAATCCCCTGTGTTTTTGGACCCTGACCCCGCGGATCTGCGTGAGGGGTGGCACCGAATTTCAGAAATGTGGCAAATCCCATGTGTTTTTGGACCCTGACCCCGCGGATCTGCGTGAGGGGTGTCGATTTCGAGCCCCCCCAGCAATTCAGACAACGCGCCCAGGAGGTGCTAAAAATCCCGTTTGGGCCTCCCCCCCCCTCGCGCGGTCAATCAACTAGTTACAGTAACCAGCAAGAAGCAGAACTGTAACACTGGAAACTACAAGCTACAACTGGTACTAGAAACTGCGAATCCGTGCCTCGCAGCCTGGTGGCCCCACAAGGGGGCCGGCGGATTTCTCAGATGTGGTTCTTAAGTACGATGGGAACAACATAACCCTCGGGGCGAACGGGCGCAGAGTCCAACAGCAGTTCTCGTGCATTTCGGACAGGGCCTCGCTGTTGACGAGGCCGCGGCCGTGGTCCAGTGCAGAAAGGAGGCCGCCTCTGTCCAGCGGCGGCCGCTCTCGGCTTCTTGGGGGCAACATGTGTTGTTGGGCATTGTGCCCTTTTTCCGCACCCATTTCGGCGTCCAGATTCCCGTCCCTCCCGCCCCCTCGTTTTTCCTTTTGCTCCGTCGCACGGCAGTCGTCGCGGTGGTAGCCAAGGCAAATGTGTGTGTGTGTGTTGTGTGTGCGTGTGCGTGTGCGTGTGCGTGTGCGTGTGTGCGTGTGTGTGTGTGTGTGTGTGTGTGTGTCTGTGCGCGTGTGTGCGTGTGTGCGTGTGTTTGTATTTGTGTGCGTGTGCGCTTGTGCGTGTGTGTGTGTGTGTGTTTGTGTGCGTGTGCGCTTGTGCGTGTGTGTGTACATGTGCGTGTGCATGTGTTTGCGTCTGTGCCGTTGTCTATGTGTGTATGTGTCTGTGTCTGTGTGCATGCGTATGTGCATATGTGCGTGTGTTGAACACTATTACTTCTAAAGAATTATTATTGTTGGACCCCCTGGTGCACGCCCCCCGCCCAAAACCTAGGCCGCAGCTACATTTTCATCATTTTTCTGCGAAAGCTTCAGAAAAGTGGATTACCCCCGGATCCGGTTTTTTGTTGACGCTCGTTTTCCCTTGCAAAAAACAATAGAAAATGAAAATTCTTGTTCTTAGTTGATCAAATTTCAAGAATCCCTTGCAAAAAATAAGGTAAAGTGGACATTCGCGCTCGCAAGACGAAATCCTTCCAAAACCTTAGGTTTCGTAACGATTTTAACATAAAAACATCAAAAACCCAATGGTTTTTTAAGAAAAAATTGTCAAAATGTCCTTCCGCGCGCTCTTGCGGATTCATAGGAAACACACCACTTTTTAAACATTTCTGTCAAAAGGGTCTTTGCGTGCTACTTCTTCAGGTGCTTTGAACTTCTCCAACAACGGTTGCGCGCCTGCGAGGGCCACCATCCCTTGCAAAAAATGAGACGAAGTGCACATGCGCGCGGCCGCCGCGCGCGCATGTCGAAATCCTGCCAAACACAATGGGTTTTCAATAATTTCAAGATGCGATGTTCAGAAAACATATGAAAACGCACTACTTTCTCATCCGAAAAATCTCGAAATCCATTCGCGGTCTCTTGATGAATCTTTAAAACCCAAGATGGCCCCAACAGGCGCGCAAGATGGCCCCAAGAGGCGTCCATGAGGCCCAAAGAGGCGCCCAAGATGGTCCCAAGAGGCTTCAAGAGGACTCCAAGAGGCCCCCAAGAGGTTCCAGAGAGGCTCCAAGGTGGCTCCAAGAGACCCCCAAGATGGCCCCAGGAGGCGTTCTAGAGGCCCCAAGAGTCCGCCGTGAGGGTCCAATAAGCCCCCAAGAGGCCCCAAGATGGTTCCAAGGAGCCCCCCAAAGGCTCTCAAGTGGACCCCAAACCGCGCCAGGAGGCTTCCCCCCTTCCCCAAGAGGACCCCAAGCGGCCCCAGGAAGGCCCCCGACTGCTGACGCACATATCCGTAGCCATCTCGGATCAAGGTATCGCCTGTGTTCTTGGATCATGGCTTTGACGGCGAAAGACCTTCACGAGCAGTATGGCCCTGAGCTGTCGCGGCCTCCCTTGGCCGACTGCGAGAGTGCGTATTATTTGCATCAGGCGCTCCGGGCAAAGGGTATCAATGCTAGTCACCAGGCGTGCAAGACTTGGTGGGCCAAGTATCGGGTTGTGACTGGCACGGTCAGTATTTCTAGCGCCAAGGAGCTGGAGGAGCAGCACGGCTCTGCCATCCGCCACCTGGGCATTGAGTATAATACCGCTTTCAAATTATGCCGGGCGCTCCGACAGTTGGATCCACCACTGTATGTGCCAGATAGGGTCGCAACGGCGTGGCTACTGCAGTATTCATCCAAAGACACGCTTGTCCAAGTGCAGAACGCTGGCCACTTGGAGACCTGGTATGGAGAACGTATTCGCAAAGACATGCCCGAGGGGACCACTGACGGGGCCGTCTTGAAGCAGTGGCTCCTGGGACATTTATCTGTATCTGCTAACGCCAGGGTATGCCAGAAGTGGCTCAGCACGGAGTGGGGCGCCAAGGGGGCATTGAACACTGCCCAAGCTGTGGAGGAATGTATGGGCGAGCGTCTTCGACTCAATCAGTATCGGGAGAGCTTCGCCGACGAGGCCGCTGCGGAGGTCCTCTCGCAGCTTCTCTCGGAGAGCGATCCTCCCGTCGCTGTCAGCGGTATGGTTTTGAGGCAATGGTACGTGAAGTATCACCCTGACTCTGGACCTTTGCAGTATGACACGGCCGAAAAGCTCAACGCGGCACTTGGTGACCACATGCGCGCTGTATATCCAGGGCTGAAGTGCCACACGTTGCATACCGTGTTGCGTATGCGACGGAAAGCTGTCTTGGTGTCCCGCTCAGTGTTGAGAAAGTGGTGCGATGTGTATGCGTCGGTGGGCGCTTCAGTGCAGGCGGCGGCTTCATCCGTTCAGGCCGTCACCAAGCGTGTATTGAAGCGCCCGGCGGCACAGGTCGCAGGCGGGGTA